GGATCCAATGATTTATTTTTTCTTCCTGTTATAGGTACTGCCTGGATCACTCATCCTGCAGTGCAATCATGTTTTTACAACCCTTGAGGTTCCCTTTAAACTAAGTGGGGAAGGAAAAAGAAGAAAGACGTTTGTGATGAAATGCAAATAGGAACTTTATTTTTTCCCATTTTAGTTTCAGTGTTTGAACATTTCCTCTAGATAGCAATAGTTACCTGTAAATCGATGAGATGTATGTTTGTTTTTTTTAAACCCAATTGATCCTTTACTAGTAGGAAAAAATGCAAGATGTGATAAAAAGAAAAAGGGAAGAAAGTAGATTGCTTCTTCCACTCTCAAATCTTAGAGCTAATTTGCAAAATGCCTCAAAATTTTGAGGTGTATTTCCCCAGTTTTGTAAGATTTCCTGACCAGATAATTTTCTGCAAGGATAGATAATGCTAGCAGTCGTCTATGACTTTTCACCCTCTCGTAACCGTCTATCTCTGATCAGTTGCCAAGACTTGCTAATGGGACCTTCCACTTCGATGTAGTTTATCCGTGTTCTCATCTGGACTTAAACGGCCACAACTTGAGGTCTCAAGCCTTTGTCACTTTTCATGTGTTCTATTGCAATAGCTCCCATTTGGTCTTCCTGCCTCTAGTCTTTCCCCTTCTACACTTCATCTTTCACACTACTGCCAGAATATTGTAGCTAGGTCCTGATGAAGACAAATAATGGATTCCCCCCCCCAAATGGTCACATGTATCAGATTTGCGCTATTCAAAATTATATTTACATAAACTATGGTAATTGGTTCCAGCTTAATAAAAATGTACGGTACAAATTTAAATAGTGAAGGATGAGGCTTCTTAATTGGGATTCCACAGGTAGATTTTGGGGGGAGGATCTGTGAACTTGGATAGGAAAAAAATTTACATCTTTATTTTCACTAAACATCTAACTGAAATTTAGCATTTCCTTCAATTGTTTTTTAAAAACATTATTAAAACTTATTAATTAGTTTGATATTATTTTAATTTAACCATCAATTATAATTATATATAATATCATATAAATACATAATAAATAATAACATATTGTTAACTATAATTATATAATACAATAATTAATTATATAATTGATAATTAAATTATATTAATTTAATAGTCAAAACTTATTAAAACAATTGTAAAACATAAATAATTATATTAAAGCATTATTCTGAGAAGGGGTCTGTAAGACTTCACCAGTTTGCCAAAAGAGGGAAGGAAATAATCATTTATTAAATACCTACTCTGTGCCAGGCACTGTATTAAGTGCTTTACAAATGTTATCTCCTTTGATACTTACAGCAACCGGGAGGTAGGTACTATTATTATAATACCCATTTTACAGGTGAGGTGACTGAGGCAAATTAAGGTTAAGTCACTCGTTCAGTGCCACACAGCTACTAAGTAACTGTCTGAGGTTGAATTTTGCAGTCTTTCTACCTTCAAGCCGAGCAATCTCTCCACTGTACCACCTGCTCTCCTTATAAGGGCCCATGACACTCAAAAGTTTAAGAACCTCCGATTTAGGAGAACCATCCCCATGTCACAAAGGACAATTAAGTATTTTGTCAATCATTACTACTTCTTCCACTTTTTAAAATTATCATCACTTTCTCCCCTGTGCTGAGTTTGGCCAAACACCAACTCAAATTTGACTTCTTTCTCACCTACTATATTTAGACTCACTTACTATATTTTTTGAGTGATGGAGAAAGGGGGAGGAAGAGTGTAGGAGGAGAAATGGGCAAAGCAGAGTGCAGTTTTAAGGAATAGAATGTATTTATTTCACAGTTTTGTCTCGGACATGAATAGAGCCCAGCTGGCTCAGGGGACTTCTATGACAGGAGCCCAGATCCTTAACAATTCTTTGCCTACTTCTGCCCTCTCTACCCCACAGATCCAACTCAGACTCCTTCTTTCTCACCTGCATTCACTGTCAGAGAAAAATTACTGTTTGTCTTGCTTTTTGTTGACTGATTTGAAATTTGTTTTCATTGAAATTAAGTCAATATGGGAGTCAGGCTTGGAAATACTCAATGATTTTAGCCGTTTTCTATTTGCATACTTCTAAGAGGATGCACCCTGCCCCAGTGGAGGTGAGAGTACTCACCCAACCCCTAGCTTGGCAAACTAATCAAAGTTAGGAAATTGATCATTTCTCAAAATGACGAAACACAGGAAGTGTTTTCTATGTCAGTGACGCCCAATACCTTTTGGTTTCGGACGTGGGAGTCTAAAGCATGGGAGGGAATTGGAATATCCTGGGCATAAAATGACGTGACAGCCAAAAAAAGAAATTTGATGTGAAATCAGAACGTATTAAGAGAGGTGTGGAATACAGAATTAAGGGAAGGATAGTCCTCCTGCTGTACTTTGCTTTGGCCAGGCCACGTCTCAGCCAGCCAATAAAACTTATTAAGCACCTACTATGTGCCGGGCACAATGCTAAACACTGGGAATATAAAGAAAAGCAAAGGACAGCCTCTGTCCTCGAGGAGTTAACAGTCTAATGAGAGAGAAGATTCAAGCAATTATGTATAAAGAAACATCTGGAATATTCTATTTAGCTCTGGGAACCATGTTTTAATTTTTATTTACTCAGGCAATTGGAGTTAAATGACTTGCCCACGGTCACACAGCTAGTAAGTGTCAAGCGTCTGAGGTCACATTTGAACTCAGGCCCTCCTGACTCCAGGGCTGGTGCTCTATCCACTGTGTCACCTAGCTGCCCCTGGGACAATATTTCCAGAAGGACATCGATCAGCTGGAGAGTGTAGAGAAGAGTAACCAGAAAAGATCAACAAGAATGTTGAAATTATGTCCTTTGGGAATTAGTTGAAGGAACTCAGTATGTTTAGCCTGGATGGTGAGGATGGAACACTTTTTGTTGGTATGGGTTGGACCAGAAGGGCTCTGACGTCCCTAAAGCTTTGAGATACTTTTGTTCTCTAACCTGGACCATCGATAGAACCGGCTATACTGTAAACCCCTTTAGGGGAAGGGTCATATCTTATCTATATCTTGTCTCTTTCCTAGCATCTAGCATAGTGCTGTCCCTATAGCAGATGGCTAATAAATGTTTTTTGATTGTTGTTGGAGCAGGCAGCTGCCTAAGAAAGTCAAGGAGTAAAGAAAGACCCCAATCCTTTCCCCAGCTAAAAAAATCATCTTCATTCCTGACCTATTGTGGTGCCTGAAATTTCCACTAGGAAAGTCAGAGTCACAGGATCTCAGAGCTGAAAGGGCTCTCAGATCATCTAGTCTGCCAGATACCTGAGCAAGAATGTCATCAACAATATCCCTGAGAGGTCAGACATAAAGCCTGTCCTTGAAGGCCTCCCTCCATTGGGCCTCTTCCATCTCCCAAGGTAGCCCATTACACTAGGCGGCTTTGAATGTGAGGAAGTTTTCTTTACACTGACCCATAACTCTGGCTCCTGGTAATTTATACCTGTGGGTCCAAATTCTGCCCTTGGGAGCCAAATCTAATCTCTTTAGTTTAAGGTGCTATGTCTCCAGTTAAAAATACAAATGTGTTATTTATCCATTTATTCATTCTTTTTTCCTCTATTTTTTGAGTGATGGAGAAAGGGGGAGGAAGAGTGTAGGAGGAGAAATGGGCAAAGCAGAGTGCAGTTTTAAGGAATAGAATGTA